CAGGATGGGCGGGCGGGCCGCGAGGCCTCTGGACAAGCGACAACAGGAGCACGTGAAAGGTGAGTAGGGGTGGGGTGGGAGGGGATGGGGGGTCGTTAAGGGCTAAAGCTGCCCAGTAGACAGATGCCCTGTTCACGTGAATTTCTGATAAGCAAGGAAGAACAAAGTTTAGTGTAAGTATAGCCCCAAAATTTGCATGGGATATACTTATGGGGAAAAAAGTGATATTTTTATAAAAAAAAGAATTTTTAAATTTTAACAGTATTTATTTATTTATTTATTTCATTTTATTTTAATTTGACCAGAGAGGGACAGAGAGGGGGGGGGGGGGAGAGAAAGTGAGAAAGCAAGCTGCCAGGTCTGGGACTCGAACCATGGTGGGTCATGTGGGAATCCAACGCTCCTAACTACCACACCACCTGCCGGTCCTGATTTTTTTTTTTTTTCCTTGAGAGGTTTTTGCTATAGGGCACGTGCACTCACCAGAAAGACAGAGACAGAAAGCAAGAAATCACCCCCCAGGGGAGATGACCACGCCGCAATCCCTTCTCCTCCATTCTCCTCTCGGGATCTTGGGCACCCACGCACATGCACCCGGCGTGAGTTTCAAGCCACTGGGTCCGGGACTCGAACCGCAGTCGGCCATGTGGGAGTCCAGCAATGCCATCTGCTGGTCCCTTGTACAACCAAAGGTTATAGTAGGTCTGGGACCAACAGGTGGTGTGGTGTTTAAGGCGCTGGACACTCCCACATGGTCGATCACAGTTCGAGTCCTGGACCTGGTGGCTTTCTCATTTCTCTCTTTGTGTGTCTCTCTCTGGTCAAATAAAAATAAATGAATGAAAAAAATTTAAAAAGGTCTGTTATACACTAAGTCTGAGTCACTAAACTCCCCCACACCGTCCCGCCTCGTGGATAGACATGGAAGAGGGAGTGAAGGGCGAGTGAAATTCAGGCACATTTAGACGGGCTGCTTCCAGGTGAGGTAGGACCCAGGAGGGGCTTCTTCCCCAAGCAGGTCTGCGGGATCCCCCCAGCCATTCCCTGTCCCCTTGTCCCCCCCTGCAGGTCAGGTGGACGACCTCTTGAGGAGCTTCCTGCCCGGGTACCGCAGGCAGCTGGCCGCCTCGGTCCTGCAGCAAATCTCGCGAGAGCTGGGCCCCCAGGAGTCGGCTGGATGCCAACTGCTCCGGAGCAAAGTGGGTGCAGGGCTGGGAGGGCATGAGGGGACAGGGCGGGGGTGCTTCCGACCACAGACCTCGGCCCTTAACCTGGGGCCACCTTTTACCTTCCCTTTTTTTTTTTGGAGAGGTTTTTGCTATAGGGCGCGTGCGCTCGCCAGAAAGACAGAGAGAGACAGAGAGACAGAAAGCAGGAAATCACCCCCAGGGGGGATGGTCACGCCACAATCCCTTCTCCTCCATTCTCCTCTCGGGATCTTGGGCACGCACGCACACGCGCCCGGTGTGAGTTTAAGCCACCGGGTCCGGGAATCGAACCGTGGTTGACTACGTGGGAATCCAGTGATGTAACCACATGGCATCTGCTGGTCCCTTTCCTTCATTCTTTGTTCTGTGAGTGAGAGAGACAGAGAGAGACAGAAACATGGCAAATCCAATAGAGTCTTTTTCTTTTTCAAATAAATTTGCTGTAGGGCATGTGTGTTTGCCAAAAAGAGAACAAGAGACAAAGAGAGGGACCAGCAGGTGGCGCGATGGTTAAGGATGCTCGACTCCCACATGGCTGACCGTGGTTCGAGTCCCGGACCTGGCTGCTTGCTTTCTCACTTTCCCGCTCTCTTGCTCTGTTCCTCTCTGATCAAGTTAAAAATAAAAAAATAAATAAAATTAAATAAAAAAATCATTAAATGACAACAACAACAAAAAAGCAGGAAAGAGGAATGTCACCACACCAGCAGTCCGAGTGCCCTGTGTTTGGTCGCACTCAGGACTCGGGCCACCGTGGACACTGTCTGGGTGGTCTGGACATGGGGACTCTCATCCCGCGTTCCTGACGCCCACTGCTCCGTCTTCCTACAGAAGCTGCCTCGGGTCCGTGAGCACCGCGGGCCGCTGACCCTGCTGCGAGGCCACCCACCACAGTGGCAGCCCGTCTTCTGTGTCCTGCGTGGGGACGGTCGCCTGGAGTGGTTTGGCCACAAGGAGGTGAGGGAAGGCCGCGTCCCTCCTCCTCCAGGGAGCCTTCCTTTCTTTCTTCTCCCAGTACGAGTGTTTGGCTGGGGGTGGGCGACCACCGTGTCCCATTGCCTGTTGGGTGGATGGGTAAACTGAGGCCAGGCTGGGATAGGATAATGGTCAGATTGACAGTCAGTGTCAGAGCTGAGGTTTAAGCCTCCAGAGAGGGGCCAGTAGGTGGCGTGGTGGTTAAGGTGCTGGACTCCCACATGGCTGGCCATAGTTCAAGTCCCGGACCTGGTGGCTTGCTTTCTCACTTTCCCTCTCTCTCTCTCACTCTGTCTCGCTCTGGTAAAATTTAAATCAATCAACAAATAAGGTAACATAAAATAAAAAAAATATATTTTTAAAAAGTTTAAAAAATTGGGACCAGCAGGTAGCGTGGTGGTTAAGGTGCTGGACACTCCCACGTGGTCGACCATGGTCCGAGTCCTGGATCTGGTGTCTTGCTTTCTCACTTTCCCTCTTTCTCTCTGTGTCTCTCTCTGGTCAAATTTTTAAAAATTAAAATTAAAATAAATGGATGAATAAATAATTTTAAAAAAAGTTTAAAAAATTAATTCTAAAAACAACTTAGAAAAAAGAAGAAGCAGAGGGAGATGGGCCAGCAGGTGGCACGGATGTTAAAGTACTGAATTCCACATGGCTGACCCCGTGGTTCAAGTCCTAGACCCGGCAGCTTGAAAAACACACTGGGTGGGTGTGCGTGTGTGCCCAAAATTCTGGAAAGAGAGTGAAAAAGAAGGAATTGAAGTATGGTCATCCCTCCTGGGGATGCTTTCACATGTTTCCTCTCTCTGTTTATCTCTCTTGGGCAAGTACATGTCTCTAATCCAGGGACAGTCTGGGTCTGGGACTTGAACCACGGCTGACTAAATGGGAGTCCAGTGACACAGCCATGACGCTAACTGCTGGTCCCATGTTTTGGATACCTTTTGTAGGACTATGAAAATGGGGGCCGTTCCCTTGGCTCCACAGCCCTGACGGGGTACTCAGTCCTGACTTCCCAGCATGGGTACCTCCATCTTTTGGACAATCTCTGTGCAGACGCCTCTGGTAAGACCTCAAGAGCAGGTTCCCGCCTCCCGGCCCTGGGCACGGTGGGCATTTGGGACCCGGTTGTCTCTGCAGTTGGGGACAACCTCTGGTTAGAGGGTATTGGATAGCATCTCTGGCCCCTACCCACTCCATGCCAGTACCCCCTGCTCCCCCAGGGATGACAACCAGTAGTCTTTCCAGACATTTCAGTGTCCTCTAGGGGGCAGCGTTGTCCCCTAATGAACCCCTGGTCCGGACAGAAAAAAAAAAAACTACTGCTGGTGGCCAGCAGGGGGCGTGGATCCCACATGTCCTGGACCCCCTCATGGGTAATGGCCACACCGCAGTCCCTTCTCCTCCATTCTCCTCTTGGGATTTTGGGCACACACGCACATGCACCTGGCGTGTTTTCCAAGCTGCAGGATTCAGGACTCGAACCATGCTTGTCCATGTAAGAGTCCACCACCTCACCACTATGCCATCTTCTGGCCCCCAAAATATATACTATTTTTTTTTAAATAATTATTTATTTCATTTCATTTCATTCGTTCATTCCTTTTCATTTGACCAGAGAGAGACACACACAGAGAAAGAGAGAGAGAGGGAAAGTGAGAAAGCAAGCCACCAGATCCGGGACTCAAACATTGGTTGTCCACATGGGAGTGTCCAGCGCCTTAGCCACCATGCCACCTGTTG